CTTAAATTCATTCCATAACATCTATATAGCTCGGAATCACACCTACAAGGCATAAAACACACAATTAGTGCAAAACACTAGCGATTAAAGCGCAAACTCAATTAAAGTGCAGTAAATTAGAGTGTAATAAGCGACTAAAATACGTAATTATAGCCTATCATCAGCAGATCCAGGAGTTTTTGGACGCGGAGGGTGTTGATATTTCGCATAGCTGACCGCTGGAGATTTCGAGGTAGCTGCCTGGCGTCCGCAGTCCATGTTTCTCCCTCCTTATCCTTTCTTTCGTTGTATTTAGATCCAAACTGTTACAGACATTTCATTGCTAGACTGGTGATGTGTAGATGCTCATGGGCTCAGTGACACCTGATTTGGGAGATATGTTCCGCACTTGTGTTTTGGATTTTACCCCCGTTTATGTGAACTTAGTCATTTAATAATACTTTTGTTCATTTTCTGTTAAATATTGGAATATCAACTGGCCTAGTACTATCGATAGGCGCCATCACGAAGGGTTGGTATTTTGTGTCGTGACAGTAACCATGAAATCTCTACGTACTAAAGTAATTGAGCTGTCAATAGGGATGGCAATGGGGCGGGGCGGGGCGGGACGGGACGGGTTAAAATAGTTTTTAAAATTTTTAAAGCGGGGCGGGGCGGGTTGCGGGTTTAATGCGGGGAAATTTTGAATTTTATCTTTTTTGAAACAAAGCAATCATTTCAACTACAATTTCACATTCTTCTTCGCTAGCACGAATACTATTTTGATTTATAATTAATTTTCACCCAATTTCACAGTCTATGAGTTTATATATATACATGCTGCTCTTAATTAAAGTTACCTTTTTGTTCTTTGTTTGATGGGATTATTTTCGCTTCTATTTCTTTGTGAACCTCTGAAAGTCCTGAGCTTTTCAATGGTTCTTTTATTCAAAGATTAACTGGAAAAGTGATGATTTAAACTGACTATTTTTAGTTTTTGAAGAACAGGGAAAAGGGCAACTTGTAAGATAACCTTTCCTTTTCCCAGTTTTTGTTGCAATGAATAAATGTTAATGATTGCTAGTAGAGATGATTTGGTTAGATCATGCCAGAAAAACTAGCCTCTTTTATATTGTGAAGTCTTCATCTTCTGTTTGTTAAAACTTCCCTGAATTGGAGCTTTTCTGGGGCAAGCAAAGAGATGAACATACAACAGCTTATCCAAGAAAAAAGAAAAAAAAAATCTGGAGTGGGCGGGGGGGGGGGGGGGGGTTGTCCAAGCGGGTTGAAAACTGAAAAAATAACTATGTGGGGCGGGTTGAAATTTTTGTGGGTTTTGCCAAACCCGCCCCGCCCCATTGCCATCCCTAGTTGTCAATCATGCTAGAGATCATGTTTAGGCTATATGCCAGTACTGTTGGGACCCATAGTGGTCATTTCTTGCTGTTGACTTATTGATTTCATTGAAATTTCGTACTCAGTCATATTCATTCATTACATGTCATATCTTAGTCTCTGTTGTTATTTATTGATACATCATATCATCATTTTCGGGCTAGTTTCATGACATTGTGAGCTCGTGAGAGAGAGAGAATGGAGAGATTGATGACTGAGTAAGGTCGAGGGCCTGATTATGAGTGACATTTATAGGATGGGGCTGTACGCTGCAACGGGTTTTTACTGATTTATGATAGCACTTGGGCTGAAGGAGCCCTCCAGAGTCTGCACACATCCCTAGTGAGTGCAGTTGATTATATATATATATGTGGATCGGGTTGCACGCCGCAACGAGCCTTATGGCTATATATATGTGGATCGGGTTGCACGCCGCAACGAGCCTTATGGCTATATATATGTGGGTCGGGCTGCACGCCGCAGCAGGTATTGTATAGTTCTGAGTGACAGAGTGTGCTGTGTATTGAGCATGGTGAGAGAGAATGCGAGACAATGAGATTGAGTACTCTGAGAGAGTGAGTACATGAGTTCATCACTGAAATACATTGCATTTGACATGCGTACTTGAGATACATGATTAGAGATGCATTTTCTTCTGCTAATCGATTTTGGTGACATTCATGATTTTACCTGTATTTTGACATGTAGGCATAGAGATGTACTTTCCTCACGCTATCTCAAAATGAAACATCCTATTTATTGTTGAAAGGATTTTTGGAAAATCACAGTTTTCAAGCTTACTCATATTTTCTTGGCAATTTCGGTAAAAGATTTTGGTTTTCACTGAGATACTTGAAAAGCATGCTTATTTTCTGGAACTTTGAACGAGTTGAACATTTTATCTCTGAGATACTCCTTTTATTACTTGCATTATATTATTATGAATTGTTGTTGGCTATTGGTGTTGGATCCGACCTTTGTTCCAGCTCGTCACTACTTTCAACCTAAGGTTAGGTTTGTTACTTATTGAGTACATGGGGTCGGTTGTACTCATACTACACTTATGCACCTTGTGTGCAGATGTTGGCTGCTGATGTTGCTGTGTTCGACGGGAGCTGGATTTGAAGACGTACCTGCGTTTCGGTGGTAGCTGCCTCTTGTTCACGGTGGCCTTATATTCATAAAACTCTGTTTGTGTACTTTTCGGACATATGATGTGTTTATTTCATACCAGCTTTGTAAATTCTATTCTTAGAAGCTCATGATTTGTACTACCAGTCCTTGAGGAATGTATCCGATTCAGATATTTTTTTTACTTAATTTCTTTATTAAATTGTTATTGGAATTGGTTAGTTGTTAAATTGGCTTACCTAGCGGGTTGGGTTAGGTGCCATCACGACTAGTTGGATTTTGGGCCGTGACACTTTCTTTTGGTATTTTGGTCATTTCAATCTTTTGTCTACCTTTGCTCATCTTTCTTGCCTTAGCTAAATTAAGATTTAATCTCTTCTTCCTTGTGTAGAAGAGATTCTTATATAGTTTTTGTTGGTTTGGTCCAATGATCAGGAAAAATTATTGAAGAATTTATATTCATGGGTTTTGTTAGATATCTGATTCTATGATTTTAGTTCACAAATTGGGAAACAAAAATTTCATGTCTCTTCAACGATGTGCTTAGCCATTCATGTACACGTGCGAAAATTCACTGAATCTCTACAAATTTAGTCGGTGCAATTTTTCGAGAATTTAATTTTTCCAACTGAGTTATAACTGAAACTCGAGAAGTTTTTGATTTGTTGATTTTTATGAACAAAATGCAGCGTTCGGGTTATAAAAGAATGAAGTAAATACTTTACTACGTTTGTGGTGAGTGGCCTTTGCAAGGCTATGAACTCATTATTATCTGGCAATTATTCCACATTTTGTACATATGTGTATTTTGAAAAGAAAAAAAGGCATTACTTTTTTTTTTTAAATTTCTCACACGGTATCTGGTACCCATATTGGAACCCGACTAATTTAGATTCGCGCCGGGAAGTCCCACATTGGGGGTAAAGCGCTACCTAACAAAAGGCGACTCCATACTCAGGGCTCGAACTCAAGACATCTGGTTAAGGATGAAGGAGTATATTACGTTAACTATATAACTTGCTAATAAAAAGTGAATAAGGTTTCGAATACTAAATACTATAGGAGAACGTTGCTCCTCTCAATTCTCTTTTAATTCTTTTTAAATCCTCTTACGAGGCCGAAAACTTGGTTTATTTCTTCTTATAATTTGTTTTTCTTATTATTGTATGGTAGGATTTGGTTGTTCCTCTTGTAACTTTCTTCCTTTCTTCTAACTTTGTTTTGCTCTTGTAAAATAGGTTTTGATATTGCCTCTGTGTGTGTTTTTAAATTGTATATGTATTTTGTTTCTTTCCCTAAACTACTTTCATTACGAGTTTTTTAAACTCGAAAAAATGTTAATTTGGTTTGCTTACAATTTTTCTTTATCAATACTTTTCCGAAAATACAACTAATGAAATTTGAGTGACTAAGCATAATGATCAAACAAGATAGCAATCAGATCAAATAAAGAATTTTTTTTTGATAAATTTATTTTTTGCACGTCAATAATTTAAGCGTGTAGTACTATAGATTACATTGAAATATTGATCGCTTAAATCATGATGTAAATCTCAATTAAATTAATATCTTTAGGTTTCTTTTGTTATCAAGTCCTTTCTCTTGAATGTAGAGAATGTATCGAGGTAAAAAGTTCATTTGAAATCATAATCACATATCAGTATTTCTTCTTCTTTCTTTCTTTTCTTTTCTTCTCTTTTATTTTTTGGCTAAGGATGTGAATATTAAGAGAATAGATTATAGAAGAGGAAATTATTCCTTAAAAATTAACAACCTCCCTTGGACCGATGAATCTTGAAGAGAATTTCAACCAAATTAGTATCTTAGGCTCCGATAATGATTGAGCTTTTTTCTTGAATGTAAATTATCATGTAAATAAATCATTTGAAATCATAATCACGTTACATTTTCCTTTATTTTCCTTCTTGGGAAGGATGTGAATAGTAAGATCTGAAAAGAAGAAAGAAGAGAAAAATTCTTTAAAATTAAAGATGCGAATAAATATTGCACCTTGAATCTCATATGTCATAATCGTGTATTATTGGATTGCTGAAACACACACATTCCACATAGAAATAATTTTTGTCAAGATTTTTATTATTTCGAAGATTTAAGCTTAATCGAATAAATGTTTAATTAATTCATTTTATAATTAGATCGGGATGTCCTCTTAAAAGATAGAAAGGCGACCCTTATAAAATATAGAGTTTACATTGATTGAGCATACATAGTACATATCGTCAAAATATCACCTCAATTTATTACTAGAACAGCCCCCACACTAAACTCCGCTATGTGCAGGATACGACCAAGGAAGAAACAACCCATGTTGGTCTGTTGTAGACAACCTTACTTTGTATTTCATCAAAATACTATTTCTGTGGTTTAAACTTACAACATCCAAGTCACACAGTGACAACTTTTATGGTTGTGCTAGGTAAATCTTTAAAAATAAACAACAAGAATGATTAATTGAAAAAAACTGGTAGTAGTTTTTATTCATGCTTCCACCTTCCATTTTCGTAGCTATACCCGCGTTCAGTACCATAACTCTTCACCTTCAAGAGAAGATCTTCTAATCTCTCCTTCAACATTGAAGCCTCGGTGTAGTTCATTTTCTCTATAGGATCCCTGAACCATTCTTGTTGGCTCTCCACATTCTTATTTATTTCTTTGAGTTTGCTTTTCAAGTTTAATGCAAATTCCAGCTGGTCTTGCAAATAATTGAGCCGTGTATTAAGTTCTCTAGAGTTGGCTTTTCGGAACATCTCGACATACTTATCAATGCCCGGTGATGATGGCGATGAAGGCTTTTCTTCGCCAACATATTTGTTGATGGTCTCATTTATATTTGGATGACCAAAAGAGTAAGACTTGTTAGCTATAAGGCAAGAGGAGAGAAATCATTAATACAAAATAGGACAAGAGGAGAGAAATCGGTAATCTAAAAAAGGACAAGAGGAGAAAAATTCGTTTATCTAATGTTATATAGGGCAAGAGGAGAGAAATGAGTTTATCGATCTGGTGTTATAATGTCTCTCGCATCATGTATTTTTCTTATGATGCTTTAATTATACGTGAGATTAATTATCATGTTTAGGATCTTGGATTTGCATGTTTAATATGACGATGCATGTACTTTTAGTTATATTTGTTGATGGTATACATCATGTATATCTAGATGATCAAGAAAATGTAAGGCTTGTAATTACCTGGTGAAAACACGATGAGGCCAACTTCAGCACCAGTCATAACAACAAGCTCATTAGCTTTTTTGAAGACGCCATTTCGACGTTTTGAGAAGGTAACTTGTCGATTATTTTGATTTTCTATCTTCGCGAGCCTAGTACTCATTCTTAAGGATATATAATGATATAACTAGTAAGTATTACTTAGAGTTATGTGACATGAATTTTGTAATGCAGGAGCCTAGCATTTATAGAGTTTTTCCAACATCATGAAGGCCTTTGGTTTTTCAGTTTTGGTAGTTCATAGAGAGGAATCCAGTTCATTTTTTTAGTGTTCACATGTTATGAGGCAAGTAAATTTAGATACTTAATTATAGTGGTGACTATACTCTCCATTTTTCAAAAGATTTTCAAAATTTACCTCTATAATATTGTAATGGTCAAGTCAATTTTCAGGCCAGGCGTAGACCAATAGTGATTTGTTGTTCTAAGATTATTAGTATTTGATACTCTCTTAATAATATCCCTTAATTTGCAAATGGATGAATAAATATCCCAATTTTGTTACCATTATTTTTATTTTTATTCTCTTGTTTACTATCTCTACTTTTTGGTAATTTTCAAGTTGTCGCCGAAGATTATGACATATTTTTATTTATATTTTCTTTTTTGTTATTTTAATTTTTGATAATATTCGAGCTGTCGGGGTAGATTAAGACATGTTTCAATATTTCCCTTTCAGTTTATCATTGCTTCATTTATACTCCTTTTTTTTTATTGTCCTATTTTTGGTAATATTCAAGCTGTCGTGGAAGATTACAATATATTTTAATATTTACATCAAATCAGTGAAAGTTACATGGCAACTATCATTTACATATTTTAATCACGTGAACAAAGTAAATTAATTTATATAATCGCCTTAATTTATTACTTAACCATATAAATGGATACGAATTGATACAAGCATCAATATATAGATGTATAATTAGGTTCCTTCCTCTTACAAATAGGCATAATTAGAAATATAGTTTCAGAGAAGCAAGTATTATAATTTTTTCTTCTTTTTTCCGATAATGAAGAAATCCCTCGGAAGCCAATGATGTTGCTCAAATTGAAACTCGGTGGATAAATTCTACTAAATACATTGTGGTCTCTTAATTATCTACTGATGCAAATATAAGAGCTAGAGTTACCACAGTCTTTTATCAATTTATTAAACTCCCTACTAATAGAGAAAGCTTATTAAGCTTTATATAATTTAGATGCTTCAAATATGTACAAATAAGATACAGTTTACTCATACAATCCAAAAAATTGGAATAGTCATGTGTGTGAAAATTGATCCACACACCACCATTACCAAATAAAATTGAGATGATTCAAACTGTAACAAAACTTAAATTTTGTTATCTAAACCTGCGAATAGTATGGAAATAACCAAAATAATTTCATATATTCCTTCTTTACCAAAAGCAAGGGTTCAGTGTGGAAGATTGCAATTAAAAAAGCAAATTTCTTCTCAATTGGCAAGTACTACTTTAAAAAAAAACTTAACAACCTTTGAGATCACACTATTTCTGGTGGAATACTTTGTTTGGGAGAGAAGAATTAACCTAAATAGTCACCTGCCCGCAATCATTTCAATTAAAAATAATTGGCTAAAGTATAATATATATATATATATATATATATATTATTATATATATATATATATATATATATATATATATATATATATATATATATATATATATATATATAAAATCCATGTATACTATGTGATGAATTATGTATAATCAGTATATAATTTATGTATACTAACTAGAAGAAAAAAAAAAACAGCAAACCTGACGGTTATTTGTCAAAAAATACCAGTTATATGGTAAAAGCCTACTTGCAGGAAAATTATCTTATTAGTTTCTTTTGATTTGTTTATCTCCTTTTACCCAATATGCTTATTAGAATCATTGTAAGTTACATGTTATTTTAATAAGATGGCGATGTACAATTTGAATTGAAGAAGTGAGCTATATATATATATATAAAGTTGTACATTGTGCGCTAGCCCCTTGCACAGGGTTAAAACTTTTTTTTTTCGGGGGAAGTGCACGTGGAGAAAAATAAGATCTAAAACGACTTTGTTTCCATGGAAAATATAATTAGGGCTTAGATTTAAAGCAAATTGCAATGCAAAATGAACCAATACATATGGATTACGCTGTAATATACAGTTAAATCTAGAAAAGATAATTATTTCTTGTACAAATTAAATCAATGATCACATCTTGCAACCACTATATAAGTATATATCTATCACACGATATATGACAATATATGCAGGCACACCCTGAGTTTTTCTTTTACGAGATTGTTTCTAATATCTTCATTTATGATATACAAATATATAATTAATTATCAGTTCTCACAAACTTTACAATCTTAACTAAGAGATCCTTTCGTTACTTCATTAGAAGAAATATTACTGTCATGGGCGGCTTTCCAGCCATGCCCCATGACCTCTTGGGCGCGCCCCGTGGTCTTGGCCGCGCCAAGTGACAAGCGCGCAGGTGCCTCTGTCGCCCCACCGATATCCCTCGCGAGCGCCAAGCCGCAGGCAGAAGCCAACAGCGCCGCGCGCGCAGACAACGCCGCGCGCGCAGACCGTGATGCCAAAGACACTGCTGCTGACAACGGACCTGCTGCTGCCTTATAGAAAACTAAGTCATTTTCATTGTAAATATAGAGTAGTTTTATTTCATGTACTTCCATTATGTTTCTCTAGCTTAGTCAAGTCTAGTCTTGTAACTTTGGATTATTTTTTTTAAGTACTATTAGGGGGGATCAAGCAATCAAAGCTTTCTAGCAAGCAAGCAATTCTCTGTACTGGTGTCTCTCCCCCTCGACACCGTGTTGCTTTTCTGTAATAGCTTTTATTAATGCAATCAAGCTTTCTTTCATTCTGAATTCTCATTTCTGTTCTCTCAATTGCTCTTGACATTGGTTTTCCCGTACGGCACTGACAATCTCGTCTAGCATACGGAGGGGACCTCAGTTGGCGGACAGCAACTGCACTGACATCAGTTGCCTAGCCTTACGTCGCCCTTCCAAGGAATCTCAGGAAGGCGCCGCGTAACAGTTGGTATCAGAGCCTAGGCTCGACATCGGACGAGGGAACGTATTAACATACCACCATTTCTGACCATGGTGAATCACGGGGACCGCATTGTGGCCCTCGAAGGGACGGTTGAGGTATTGCGGCCTATTGTGGATACGGTGCCTGAACTAAGAACCAGCCTACTGCAAAGGTTGGACGACCTGGACCGCAGGGTGCTTCAGGTCGAAGTTGACGTTGAAAACATCAGTCGCGACTCCGAGGGAGACCGGCAGACGGCAGCCACAGAGGCAGCCGAAGTCTTTGAGAAATTCGAGGGGCTCTAACAGGAGCGCACCGAGGATTTAGCCCACAGGGCACAAGAGGCAGAAAAGGTGACTGCCATGCAACAAACCATTGACAAATTGACAGACCAACTCAATGTTGTCAACGCTGCTTTAAATGGCCTACTCCGAGGAGGTGGAAACCAAATCGGAGGTGCTGTGAACTCCGCTTCCGTGACAAAGAAACTGAAAATTCCTGAGCCAAAGCCATACAGTGGAGCTAGGAATGCCAAGGAAGTGGAAAACTTCATCTTTGACGTCGAACAGTATTTCGATGCTGTTGGGGATCTGGAGGAAGCTAAGAAGGTAGCAACTGCTGCCATGTATCTTCAGGGTGATGCTAAACTCTGGTGGCGTGTGAAGTACGAAGCCATCAAGGCCGGTGAAGATGCTCTCGAGACATGGGCCGAACTGAAGGCAGCTATACGCCTGCAGTTCTTCCCCGAGAATGTTGAATATAATGCAAGGAGAAAACTACGGGAGCTCCGCCAGACAAAATCAGTGCGGGACTACGTGCGAGAATTCTCCGCACTCATGCTCAGCATACGCGACATGGGGGATAAGGACAAACTCTTCACCTTCATGGAAGGGTTGAAACCTTATACCCGCGTGGAGCTACAGAGACAAAGGGTAGATTCCCTTCCCAAGGCAATCCAAGCAGCTGAATGCCTTGGGGACTATCAAATGGAAGCTCGAAGGGACAGGCCTCAGCCGCCTGCCCGAGCAGTGTTCAAAGGGGGCCAGCCTAGCAGTGGTGGTCCTAGCAAAAATGGGGGAGATCGGAACTCAAACAAATCTAGAGCTCCTTCCTCCGACAGCAACAATGCTGCGTCAAACAACAATGATCGGGCGAGAAAGCCTCCTTCAGGATGCCGTCATTGCGGCGGTCCACATTGGAACAATGAGTGCCCACATGCACAGATGAATGCCCATCAGGCTATTGATGATGGGACTGATGACGACTCAGACGATGCGGACCAGACTGAATCAGTAGGTGCCTTCAATGCAATTGTGGGTTCCATTTCTGAGGCACTAGCGGAGACCAGTGCTGGTATTCGTAAGAAGAAGGACTCATGTCCCGTCACCAGGAAAGGAAAAAAGAAGGCGAATGAAGAGACTCCTCTTAAACAAGAGAGGACCTTAATGTTCGTCGAGATGAAGGTGAATGGCAAGCCTATTCGGGCTATGATAGACACGGGTGCTACCCACAACTACTTAGCCTCGACTCAGGTGGAGCGCCTTGGACTAGTTGTAGAGAAAGGTAAAGGTAGCGTCAAGGCTATCAACTCACCTCCCCAGCCAGTAGGTGGAATAGCTAAAGAAGTACCGGTGAAGCTTGGGCCTTACGAAGGAAAATTCAACCTGCGGGTGGTGATCATAGATGACTTCGAGTTGATAGTTGGGCTGGAATTCCTAAGGCAAACCAACACCATGCCTGTACCATTTGCAGACATGCTACTGATGATGGGTACCAATAGGGCCAAGCCCTGCATTATCCCGTGCCTGCCCATGAAGATGGCCGTTGAGAACATCTCGGCCTTGCAGTTGAAGAAGGGGGTCAAAAGGAATGAACCTACGTTCCTGGCAACCCTCTGCATTGAAGATATAGAACGCTCCTCGGGTCCCATTCTGAACCCGTGAAGGAGTTACTACTGGAGTTTGAAGATGTCATGCCACAAGACATGCCAAAGCGGCTCCCGCCTAGGCGCACTGTGGACCATGAAATTG